GACTCCACCACCTCCCTAGGTAACGCATTCCAGTGCTTCACCACCCTCCTAGTGAAATAGTGTTTCCTAATATCCAACCTAGACCTTCCCCACTGCAACTTGAGACCATTGCTCCTTGTTCTGTCATCTGCCACCATTAAGAACAGCCGAGTTCCATCCTCTTTGGAACCCCCCTTCAGGTAGTTGAAGGCTGCTATCAAATCCCCCCTCATTCTTCTCTTCTGAAGACTAAACAATCCCAGTTCCCTCAGCCTCTCCTCATAAGTCATGCGTTCCAGACCCCTAATCATTTTTGTTGCCCTCCGCTGGACTCTTTCCAATTTTTCCACATCCTTCTTGTAGTGTGGGGCCCAAAACTGGACACAGTACTCCAGATGAGGCCTCACCAATGTCGAATAAAGGGGAACGATCACGTCCCTCGATCTGCTGGCAATGCCCCTACTTATACAGCCCAAAATGCCGTTAGCCTTCTGGGCAACAAGAGCACACTGTTGACTCATATCCAGACACTGTTGACTCATATCCAGAGGCACAAGGGTGAGGTATTATCTTTTATTGGACCAATTTCTGTTGGTGAGAGAGACAAGCTTGTCTCTTTCTCCAATAGAAGTTGGTCCAAAAAATATTACCTCACCCACCTTGTCTCTTCAATAAATCCTTTACGTGAGGGCTGGGGGCTGCAGAGAGTATTCCCAGCTGGGGAGATCTGGCAGCTTTCTAGCTTCTTTGCACTACAGGAGCAGTGCAAAGGGATCAGTGCAGAGTTAAGTTTGAGCCCTATCTGTCTAGCTTTCTTGGTTCTTATGACAACCATCACTATAGTAGCAGAGCACTGTCACAACAGGCAGAGATGATATTCTGTAACCTATTATAGTTTTTGTCATATATTCTTAACTTTCCTTCAGTTATGATCTCCAAGGGCTCAGTTCAAGAGACCATGAACCTCATTCTCTTTGGCCCTGCACATTGGCACCTGTACAGAGCGAGTGCAAAGTAGATATGAAATGCTAGCAAGTCAGAATGGTAACATCCTACACCCACTTTGCACAGGTATAAATGACTCCATAAGGTGGATGGCAAAGGAGCATCAAACCATGTATGCATACCCTTCTGCACTGCATAAGGTCTGGACAATATCTTGGTTTCACAGCTGGCTGATTGTTTCAGCAGAAGGGTCAGATTGCCACAGAAACCAGGAAAAATTTAAAATACTTTGTGATCCCAATGTACAGAAGTGACCAGGAGGTGAAGAGTTCATGAAAAAAGAGCTGATTTCTTTCTGCGGCCCTTAGTATGCTACACCAGTGGTCTCCAAAGTGGGGTGCACAAGAGGATCCTTGGAGGTGCGCGTCAGGAGGAGCTTTTTTGGGGCGGGAGTCCAAGCGGCTTTTTTTTTTTTTGCTTCAGCAAAAATGGTAGAGCTGGCGCGGCAGGGGGTGCGTGCTCAAAAATTTTTTACTGATAGGGGTGCGCAATCAAAAAAGTTTGGAGACGACTGTGCTACACTCTTAAAACTTTAAATCCCTCCAACATCTGTGTAATACATTTTACAAGACTCACAGTTACTCTGACTCAAAGCTGCAGTAACTCCCTGCAGCACAAAGTGGGAAAGGCTTACGTTTAGGGAGAAAGAAGAGCTGGGAGGGGTTATGTTTATATATCATATATATAAAAGAAATAATTGTGGCTGAGGAACCCCTTTAGTGGGAAAATTCATGAGCTAGCACTGTTGAGTTGTAATCCCTGATCTATGAAATTGGCTCTCTATATGGCCCATGAGTAAATCACTTCCGGCTTGTCTACACTATCCACAGTCTATTTAGCAGGAGGGTGAATTGCAGTTTGCATTAAAATGTGCTGTAACTACTCTTTAGCACAAATTAAAAAGTATCTAGTTCATGTTAACATAGTTCCCTTTTAAATAGGACTATGTTAATGCAAACGAGGTACCTTTAGTTTGGGCTAGGAGGATCTACATGGGGCAGTTACGGTGCAACACTTAAGTGTGTGCTGCAATTCACAGTGCAGAGACATGTAGACAAGCCCATAATCTCTCAATATGCAATACTAATGTGCCTATCACTGTGGTGTCTAAATACCACCTAACTTCTCTGTGTCTCATTTTCCCAGTCTGTAGAATGGGAGTAATATCATCTGCCAACCTCACAGTAAAATTGTGAGAATTAGTTAGTTAATGTTTTGCGTATTGCATTCCAAATAGAGCGCCTGATTCTGATCTTATGCCACTTCACCGACTTCAGTTACTCATAATTTTTATTCTGGTGTCCTGCCACTAATCAAGGGAGAATTAGGCCCACTAGGTGCTATCTGTACAAGCATTAAATTATTGTCACCCTCCCTTATATTAGAAAATCAGAATCTTTCAGTAGCTTTAGTCAAGTACCTTTCCAAAGCTGTTTCCTGCCTGAGTGACCTGATGGCATCTAAGGAAGATATCACTCTCTGTTGGGTGTTTGACAGTTTTTCAAGCATAGTATTATAGGAATAGCCATGCTGAATAATCTTGTACAGTATCCCATCTCTGAGAGTGGCTAGTGCCTGATGCTTCAGAGGAAGGTGTAAGAATACACATAATGGACAATTAAGAAGAAATTTGCCTTTTGAACAGGTTATTCCATAACCCTTGTCTACTAATGGTAGGTAGGTAGGTTTATGCCCTGAAGCATGAAGTATTGTATCCCTTATATCTTTTTGTCCAGTAACATTCATATAAATTCATTCATATAAATGTGTAATCACTTAAGTCTTGACCTCAGTAATATTTTGTGGCAGCAAGTTTCAGAGGTTAATTATGCATTGTGTTACAAAAAAAATTGAATGTTGTCTTATTCTTGTATTATGAGAGTATATAGGAGTCCCCCCGCTTACGTTCTTTATGCCATTCATTATTTTGCATATATCTATCATGACATCTTCATTGTAATCTCCAAAAACTGTACAATCCCAATCTTTTCAATCTCTCCTCATGTAGAAGTGTTTCCATACCTCTAAAAACTTTCATCATCTGTCTCAGGAGACTTATAGAAGGGGTCCAATCTTCTTTGAGATAGGGTGTCTAGAGCTGGGCCTGGTATATCAGGTATGTAGGTAGGTAGATAGATATGATGGAGTAAAATCATGGAAATAAGTGACTGGAAAAAACTCACTGGGGCTTTTGGTCACTACATCATTTCCCTCATCCTTCACCCTGCCATTGCAAGGCATGAAAACATTTCAGTTCAAACACCAAAGTCTTGTCTTGGCAGGCAAAAAAGGTGTTAGTGCAGTTGTTTGTGGGGAGCCTAGGCTACAACACAGCTAATACACATTTCAACCACATTAGCTTGCATCTTAGTGGGTATTAAAAGGGCTTTTTAATCAAGTTAAGCAATTTTGATTGCGTTAGCATGATTGAAAACCTCACATTTTATGTTTGTCAAGACAGGGTCAAAGTATCTTGGTAATCATAATAATAATCAGTGCCAGCAATATACTAGGTATTTCTGGAAACAAACCTAGCAAAGATTTTAGTAGTGTAATGGAATCTGGCTACATTTTATTAAAATTGAGTCTGATGGGTGCTTCTAAGAAAAACAGTTTCCAGCAGTTCTCAAACTGTCGGTCGCGACCCCAAAGTTCTTTTAATGGGGTTGGCAGGGCCAGTGTTAGACTCGCTGGGGCCCCGGGCTGAAGCCAAAGCTTGAGCCCCGCCGCCGGGAGCTGAAGCCAAAGCTTGAGGGCTTCAGCCCTGGGCGGTGGGTCTCAGACTTCGGCTTCAGACCCTGTGAAGCAGGGTTTGGGTTGTGGCTTTAGCCCCAGTCCCCAGCAAATTTAACACCAGCCCTGGGACAGCAGGGCTTGGGCTTTGGCTTCAGCCCACATGGCAGATGCAGGGGGACGGGTCCTGTAGTAATTTTTGTTGTCAGAAGGGAGTCACGGTGCAATGAAGTATGAGAACCGCTGAGTTCAACTTAAAGATGAAAGAAATTAATGAAATAAGTGTAAGGTTAATGTGCAGTAAGGACTTAGCTAGTATTTCACAGGTGTTATTTCTGTTATGATGCATTCTGTTGAATACTCATGTACAAAGCTGGATAGAGTCATATGTAAAATCCAGACCTACTCCTTGGGAAAGAGAAACATAAACATCTTGTTACAAGTAGATCAGGGTGGTTATCTCCAACTAAAGTCGTTTGTTCCTGTGGCACTTCCTTGGGTCCAACAGATGAGTAGTATATTTGTGCGTGCTCAAAATAATTGGATAAATATGAAATCAGTGTACTTTGCTAGTTCTTGTTGTGCTTAGTAGAGTTGGGAGAAGGCTGGTAAAAAAAACCTTCAGGGATATTCCCTCAAGTCTGCACGTGAATTTGGTTTGGATGTCTTCATGTCCCTTTTATGGGATGGATCCTGCCACTGGATTTTCACAAGCAGATCCACTTGCAGGAACACTCCTATCTTTGCTTTCTGTGAGCATCTCTGTTATTCTTTTGTTACCAGCAATGTTTGCAGAAAACAAATATCAAAGTTGCATGGACGTGTAAGTATTTGTGGAAACTGAATTTTAAATTTGCACTGGTAAGTATTCACCCTGGAGCTGCGTGGTGGTTGCTTATTCAGTCAGGAACAGAAACAGTGTCTCATGATTTATCTGATTAATCGCAATTAACCAACTCAGCTCAGGCTTCCTACACTGCACGCTTCTCACGATTCATCAATAACTTTAAAACCTTGTTAAATGCTTTCAAATAATGAATAAAATCATGGAAATTGTCATCTGCTGATGGATATTTTAGTGATTAGACGCTGAATTCATCAGATACATTATTTGGTCTCCATGGAGTGGTACATCACTTCATTTTAGGTCACAGTATTCTATGTGGAAATATGGGAAATCCTGCACAATATAGCAAACACAGTAAAGGATCGAGATTTCTCATTTCTGTTTTTGTATATAATGGTTTCAGCACTACTTTCTTGTTTTGTGTTTATTTTCACAGGTTTGTGAAATCAGTGGGAATATTGAAGAATTTAATTAAAACAAAATCATAATTATCAAACCTACACCTGAAGATCTGTTTTAGTTTACGTATAATAATTTTAAATAGTTATTTTTATAATATCAACAATACTTAAATAGAATTATTCTGTGTGGATGCTGTAATGCACCGAATCAAATTACTAACTATGGCACAGTGTCCTTAGGTAAAGAAGGTTTACTGTTACTTTTGAATACATAGTTAGTATAATGTATTTTGTTTAGTTTATATCCCTGTTATTTTGGAGTGACATTTGATATATTAAACTTTGCCTGATCAAAACAAACTTTGCTTAAAGATTTATGTATTTTAACTTGTCTAAGGTTTTCTACTCCTTATATTTTTGTAATCTTTTCTCATTTTTAGATTAATAAACATTAAAGCATTCACCCACATCTACCAATATGTATGTCCTGTTCAAGTCTCTCAGAGAGCTAGTTGCTCACCATAGTCACCTGGAGAGAGGGATAGGCGGGGGGAGAAAGAGAGAGGGGTAAGGAAGAGAGGTGTAGCAGAAACAGGTGTTGCCTATGTCACATAGCTTTGTACTGAGTTTATATACTTTGTTCTTAAAAAAATAAACACAGACTCTGTTAAAATGGAATACACACATGAGGAATGAAACGTGCATGCCAAAAATAAAGTACTAAGGGAATTTCATGTAGAAAATGAATTTTATTTACCCATATAAATTACTGAAACAAATTATCTGTTTTAAACAAGTTAATTGGTGTAAGCTGCTTGTTTGGAATTTTAAGATATGTCTGTGCACAAATATCAAATTAAGGGATGTGATGATGAGTACATTTACTGATCTCATTCAGCTGTTGATTCTGTTAAGCATATTTGCAGCTTGTTTTCTTTTGTCTTCAGTTAGGTTCAGTTGTTTCTGTATCTTAGACATAACTGTATAATGAAACTGCTTGCAACTGTTACAAAAACAGACTGTAACCACCATCAGTTTGTTTAAGAAATAAAAATGAATTCCTTATCCTGAACACTCAAACAATGTGGGTATATTGGTTGGTTTTTTTTTTCCTCACTCAAAAACACTGAATGCTGGCAGGTAACTGTTTACACCAGACCACAAGGAAGAGCATGCTAGAAAATGTTCCTGACTCAGATATTTTGCTTTATGAACCATAATACCTCTGGCCCCAATCTTGCACTGAGCTATGCACAGGTAGACTGATGGCCCAATGGAGTCTACCTCCCCGGCGCTCATTGCAGGATTGGGACCTTTATACTTATCCCTAGTTCATGAAGAAAACTTGGTTACATAGCGCACACTTGAAATATGCTTGAAAGTGTGTGTGTGTGTGTGTGTGTGTGTGTGTGTGTGCGCTCGCAAGCGCCGACTCTGTGGGTGTCCCCTCCTGCCCAGCACCTCCTGTCTGCTGGCAGCTCCACCGATCAACTCCTCCCCTCTTGCTCCCAGTGCCTCCCGCCCACCACGATCAGCTGTTCCGTGGTGTGCAGGTGGCACTGGGGGGGAGGAGCAGGGACGGGGGCGCTCGGGAGAGGGGGCAGAACTGGGCAGGAAGAGGTGGGGCAGAGGTGGGGGCTTGGGAGAAGGGGTGGGGTGGGGGCAGGGCCAGGGGTGGAGGGGTGGGGAGGGGGTTGAGCACCTGTGTGTGTATGTGCCTATGGAATGGTCTGGGATAACCCCATTCCATATTGATTCTTTGTGCATATCCTGTTTGCCCATTATACAAGTCAAAACCTAACAAGGATTTGGTTATTTTTAGGAAGTGGTGGGAGGATGATGACAGGATTTCACCCTCCTTATTCAGAACCTGCCTGGTAATGTTGTGGATTGTTGCATGAGAGAAATTAGAATCCAGCCAGTCTCTTTGGCAGTTTGTTGGCTCTAGAAGTGCTTACTTTTGTAAGAACTTGAATGACATATTTGGGTGAATTGTTAAAACGGGTGGGGTGTGGGTGGTTTATGCTTTCAAGGAGGAAGTCTCCTGGGTGCAGAAGGGAAAAGCAAGGTTTATGCATCTTGGTGGTGCACAGAACTTGCCCAGGTCTTAGGCACTGGGGTAAATTTCACCCTCAGTAAAAATCTTTAACTCCCAATAAAGCTATGGGAATTCAACCAGTATATCAAGGGAAGGACACACTTCCTAGAGAGTGTGGCAGGATGGCTGGACTCTGCAGCAATGCCAGCTCTAATGATACTTGGTGTTTTGTTGAAGCCTAGGCTCCTGCAATCATGTGGTGTTGTGAAAATTTCATCTTTCATTTTTTTAAAAGCAGTTTCTAGAACAGCTTGAATCATAGAAGATTAGGGTTGGAAGAGACCTCAGGAGGTCATCTAGTCCAACCCCCTGCTCAAAGCAGGACCAACCCCAACTAAATCATCCCAGCCAGGGCTTTGTCAAGCCGGGCCTTAAAAACCTCTAAGGAATCAATTTTGAAGCACTTTGAGGAGAGGAAAGTGATCAGGAACAGTCAGCATGGATTCACCAAGGGCAAGTCATGCCTGACCGACCTGATTCCCTTCTATGATGAGTAAACTTGCTCTGTGGATGAGGGGAAAGCAGTGGATGTGTTATTCCTTGACTTTAGCAAAGCTTTTGATACGGTCTCCCACAGTATTTTTGCCAGCAAGTTAAAGTAGTATGAGCTGGATGAATGGACTATAAGGTGGATAGAAAGCTGGCTAGATCATCGGGCTCAACAGGTAGTGATCAATGGCTCCATGTCTAGTTGGCAGCCAGTATCAAGCGGAGTGCCCAAAGGGTCAATCCTGGGGCCGGTTTTGTTCAATATCTTCATTAATGATCTGGGAGATGGCATGGATTGCACTGTCAGCAAGTTTGCAGATGACACTAAACTGGGAGGAGAGGTAGATACGCTGGAGGGTAGAGATAGCATACAGAGAGACCTAGACAAATTAGAGGATTGGGCCAAAAGAAATCTGATGAGGTTCAACAAGGACAAGTGCAGAGTCCTGCATTTAGGACAGAAGAATCCCATGCACTGCTACAGACTAGGGACCGAGGGGCTAGGCAGCAGTTCTGCAGAAAAGGACTTAGAAGTTACAGTGGACAAGAAGCTGGATATGAGTCAACAGTGTGCCCTTGTTGCCAAGAAGACTAATGGCATTTTGGGCTGTATAAGTAGGAGCGTTGCCAGTAGATCGAGGTACGTGATCATTCCCCTCTATTCGGCATTGGTGAGGCCTCATCTGGAGTACTGTGTCCAGTTTGGGGCCCCACACTACAAGAAGGATGGGCAACAAAAATGATTAGGGGGCTGGAGCACATGGTTTACGAGGACAGGCTGAGGGAACTGGGATTATTTAGTCTGCAGAAGAGAAGAATGAGAGGGGATTTGATAGCTGCTTTCAACTGCCTGAAAGGGGGTTCCAAAGAGGATGGATCTAGACTGTTCTCAGTGGTAGCAGATGACAGAACAAGGAGTAACGGTCTCAAGTTGCAGTGGGGGAGGGTTAGGTTGGATATTAGGGAAAACTTTTTCACTAGGAGGGTGGTGAAGCACTGGAATGGGTTACCTAAGGAGGTGGTGGAATCTCCTTCCTTAGAGGTTTTTAAGGTGAGGCTTGATGAAGCCCTGGCTGGGATGATTTAGTTGGGGACTGGTCCTGCTTTGAGCAGGGGGTTGGACTAGATGACCTCCTGAGGTCCCTTCCAACCCTGATATTCTATGATTCTATGGAGATTCTACCTTCCACTACCTCCCTAGGTAACCCATTCCAGTGCTTCACCACCCTCCTAGTGAAATAATGATCTGAAATCATGATCTGACTGACCCTACAGTCTCAAAACCAGAAGGCAAATAAACAGAGCCTTATCTTTATAAAAAAAAAAGTGTGTAATGATTTTTAACCCAATCTCATAATTGTTGACTGTTTTGGTGTTGGCAAGGCCCTCTGTACATGCGGCAATCAAGATGTCCAAACCTTGGCCCATAAAACCAGGCGCCCAAGCAATCACTGCCGCTTGGTATTCTGGCTGCAAACAAGCTGGCAGCAAGGCTTAATGAGTCATTAGAGCTGTCTGGAGGAATCATGAGATACTTAGTAGACAACAAGCACCTAGGTATAATATATATGTATAAACAGTAACTGGGAAGGCTACACAGAAGGTGTGTGTGAGACAAGCTGTGAGGGGCTTATTCATTTTCTGTTTGGCCTTTTGGCTTCAGGAAGCAGTTTCCATTTGCCAGTTGTTTATTAAATAAATGGTGCCTCCATGCTGCCTAAACAGAATGGAGACTCGCTATACAAGTTCTGCCTTTTGCTGCCACTACCCTCGCTGGTTTGTTGCAGTGTTAAGGTGCTTTTTTATTTCTACAACCAAGCACCCAAAGCCAGCACTCAAAGTGCTGCTTGATGAATGTGCCTCTTCCTAACAATATACAGAATGGACTAGGAACACTTTTTTCGTAGATGCCTTATCAGCCAAACCTGAAGCCTAAGCTGCTTCTCCCAATGGAAAAAGAGAGTAGAAATATAATTCTCATAGCAAAATGCTATGAAAAGCTGGATTTATTAGCCTTTTTAATACAGCAGGTGAGTACAAATATCAATAATATTTGCTAGCAAGAAAAATACCACTGTAATAAGGGACTTGTATAGAAAAATTATATAGGCACAATAAATGTCTAAATCTATGAAAATGCCATAGCTTGTCCTGCAAGCAGCTGTCTTTCTTTCCAAAACAAAAGTAAAAACAAAAGTATCTTTATTTTACAGCATGTGTTTTTACTCAGCTGCATTTCTTCTTTAAGAGCTTCTTGCCATTGATGAACCATCTGAATAATCATTAAAACATCCTTCAAGTGTCCCTATTAACTTCAATAGTGTTAAAGCAGTGATAAACTCCTTCTGTGTTGCCTCACTTCGAGTAGTTAACATCGCCTGGCCGGGTTTTTTTTAAGTAACTTCTTAATCCCCCAGTCTCCATCTTTAAGGATTTTAGGGGTGTGTGTGGAAGAGAAATGGGAAAGTTCTTTGTAGAACTTTGAGTGAGAATGATTTGTTTCTGAAATGTGTTTATTTTTGTGGAAATCT